GGTGCCTAAATATATTTAAGGTTGAAACATATTCTGCAAACTACTTGCCAATATTAACAAATATATTTACAGCATTTAATTTTAAAATTAAAATCAATAGAAGTTTTTCGGGTTAAAAATTAATTCTATATAATGTAGTTAACATCTTATAATTAATAATCTATTACACGCATGCAAAATAAAATTGAATTTCAAAACAAATCGATATTACTTATTTAAAGAAAAATGAGGGAATAATATTTGTTAATTTAACACTTAACATTTTAAAGGGATTTTAGATCAAATTAATATGTACTTTGCCTCTTAAACCAACAAATTTATTATTGGAAATTCTAAAAATATTATTTTTTCGACATTTCTTTTGCATAAAATAAATACTTTAAAGTCGTTAATCTGTAAATGTATTTACCTAATATTTGACAAATTGCCATAGTTGAAATAACAAGACTTCATAATTTTTAAACCAGTTAGCAGCGCGTGAATACAAAAATTAAATTGGATATGCAATGTTGGTCTTCTAATATAATCATTATTTTTTTCCGTGTACCCAAGCTTAGTCACAAATGTTTTTTTCTGCGTGTGATGATGGCCACCCAGGAAAACAATGTTGCCGGGTAGCCGAGAACCTTTTGTTGACTGCCAACTATAAAGTGATAAAACCGTGAAGACATCCTGATGTATGTGGAGTGCCGCAGGCGGAGGCGCCGTGAGTGCATTTAATTTGCATTTATTGGATATTAGCACGTCTGCCCCCGGATCTGTGGCTCCGAATCTCTGCATCTCTGCATCTCTGAATCTCTGGATCGCGAGTGCAAGACGCCGCAGGAACAAAATGATGTGGTAATCTATATAAAGGCCTGCATCCGTACACTTAATAAGCAAACGCTAACAATGTAGCCATCGCATGTATGGGTTAAGGAGGGAAGTTGCCTGTTTTAGTGATGGGGTTGAGGCTGAATCTCGGTGTGCAAACTTTAAATACAATACGCTAATGGCATGGCATTGTGCCGGCATCTGAATCCGAATCTGGATTGGATTGGGCTGGATTGGATTCGAATCGAATCGAATCGAATGGTTTGGTTTCCCAGCGCGCTTTTGTTTCCCGTCGAGCATGACAAAAGTGGCGACAGCTCGCCAGCACTCGTGAATGCGAGAGGAGGTAGCAAAAAAACAGAACACACTGAATTATAAACATTTTAAATTGAAATAACGTGTCGCAATTTTTTGTCGCTGCTCCTTGTGCTGCCTGATGCCTGATGCCAATACTGCCTGCTGCTGGCTGCTGCTGGCAGCCACAGAAACAAAACAAAAGTACAAAAATCGAGGAGAAACGTTCGAAAAACAACGGGCAAGCCAAAGAGCAGAGCAGCGAGACTTCAAAAACGTCGTTAACGCTTACCTACCGCGCATTCTGCAATCAAATACGATTGATCTCACACTCGCCCCGCAGTTCTTTACTGTGCTGTGCTGTTCTGTATTTGTATCTGTATCTGTATCTGGGCCTGGTCCTGGTCCTGCTCCTATGTATCTGTATCTGAAAATGGGCAGCAGGAGTGGCAGTGGCAGAGCATCACCATCAACAACAGCAGTGACAATGGCGACAGAAAAACAACAACAGCAAAAGCAACAGCAGCAGCTAAGAGCCAAAAGGATGGCAACAGAATGGCCAGAATGAACGGACGGACGGACGGACAGATGGACGGATGGACAGTCGCAGGAAGTGAGTTTGGAGCCCTCATTTTGGCCTCTGTCTGAGCCACCACCTCCTGCACCACCTCCTGTGGCCCCCACCAACCACCAACAACCAACACCTCCTCCAACCACCACGCGTGTCGCCAAGTCGGTGGCATGGCATAGGTGGCAATGACAATCGCGACCGGATGCTTCAAATCAGATATTGTTTTACTTTGCGCCTTCATTCAGAATTTCGAATTTCGATTGTCAGCGTGTCTGTGTCGCTGTTTATTTCGGTTTTTTTTTTTCCTTTTTCCGCCTGCCTTTCGACCTGGCTTTTGTCTGTGGCGAAACGCGAAATATTTAAGCAGCAGCAGCAGCAGCAGCGGCAATCACCGTTTGCAATGCGAGCAACGTGAGGCTTAAATAAATGTGTCTCGATTGGGACGACGGGCCGAGCTGACAACGCGTCCGCCGATATTTATCCTTCTGCTCCGGCCTTAGCTTTTTTCTTAGCTGTTTCTGTTTCTGTAGCCGTAGCTTTTGGCCTGGGTTTTGCTCAATGGAGCTCGAGCTCCAGCTTCAGCTCCAGCTCGTAGATCTAATCACCGCTGGCACCGAGGGGCCGCAATAAATGCGGCGTGCAGGCGACAAATTCATGGTTCATCTCTGCGGTCAAACAGTGAGAAAAAATACATATTAAATTGATCACTAAGAAAATACACATGAAATTTAAATTACTAAGCCTTTAAGTTTTATTTAAAATAAATTAATGAAATTAAATAAACAGTTTTATACTACTTGTATATTAATATGTTCAAAATTATTTATCTAAGCGCTTTAATACAAATATAATTACAAATATTTATATTATTAAAATTCAAATCTTCAAATTTACTTTATCCAAACATTTTATTTTAGGTATGCCATATCTTCGAATAATAACAAGAAATTTTTCCAGGTTTGTTCCAGTGCAACATCAAGGCAGAAGTCATCACCCAAAGGAATAGAATCCCGAGGCAGGCAATCCTCTTCAATCAACGAAAGTCCGTTCAATAAATGGAGGCGATTTGAGACCTAATGGCTGTGTGAGGTCCAGAACGGACATTCTCCACTACTTCTTTTAACAGAACACCCATCACTTTCACCAAGGGAACTGCGAGAGTGTTTGATTATTGTCTCAATCGAGGCTAAGATGCTCGCCAACTTCCGCTTGTCCGCTGACGATTTCGGGGCTCAGGACTTGAGTCTCGGGACTCAAGGCTTTGGCTTTCATTCATGAAGCCCCCAAACCCAAATCCCACCGGGAAAATAAGGAGTCGAGACAAGAAATCACACAAAAAGTGCGGTATGTGTGGCGGCGGTACACAAAACCTGTCTGCTTGTTAACACCGCCAACTGGGAACTGGGAACTGAATTGGGAGCTGTGGATCGAGGAGGAAGTCAAAGTCGAAGGCGACAGCGAAGGCGAAGACGAAGACGCTCTAGTGTTAAAGCCGGGGAAGTGTCAGCCGGCCAAATTGACAGGCAAAGGCAGAGTAAACGATTTTGGAGATTTGTCATTGATAAGTCGGCCAGAGTGGTAAAAGGGATGCCAAATGCGGGCTTTTCGCAGAAACGAGGTCCCAGTGTCCCATAACCCAGAGCCCAGAACCCCGAACCCCAAGCCCCAGTGTCAAAGTCAGGGCCAAAAACCGGACGGAAGGATGGATTCGCATCGAATCGAATCGAATCGAATCCGTCCCTTGTGTGTGGCTCTCCTGCTCAGCGGCTGACTTCTGGCGTGCAGAGCAAATTAATTCACACCTTGCCAATCCATTGTTGGACGACAAGACATATATATGCAAATTGTTTCTTACGAATTAAGCTTGCCCACGGTATGTGTTTGTTCGAGTGTTTTGGTTTGGGGACTGGGGGCTGGGGGTTGGAGTATTTCAGACGAGGTAAATGCACAGGCCCAGCGGCTGTTCGATATTAATTTGGTAGGCAAAGCTACGGCTTTGTCTAATAAATTACAAACAAAATATGCTCATGTCTTCGTGAGTCGACAGAAAGTGGCACACAGTTGGTCATCCGGCCGATCGAGCTATTCGATTCGAATCGAATCGAATGGTATGGAATCCAAGTCGAACAACGAGCCATTCGGAACATTACAATAATATTATGTCAGTAACCCCCCAGTTACCAAGTATCGATTCGAGCGGCTCCTCAGATACTTGCGTACTTGGATGGCAAGATACTCGGACACCCAAATACTCGACGGCACGAACCGAGTTTGTATGTGTGGGGTCAAAGAAATAATTAATTTAAAATTCCATCAGCGCACGCCGAAACGACACATTGAAAGCTCTTTAAGTCCCAAATTACGAGCATTGTACCAGAAACAAATGAGAAAGACTCACGACAATATTTCTGACACATTTGCTGTTTGTAATGCGATTGTTAACTGCGTGCGACGACAACCAAAATCAGACGCTATGCGGATCGCCCCGATCTATCGATGGAATATCATATTTGAATGTCCCGCTTCATATGCGTAGCGTGTCGCGTTTGACTAGTCGTCGGTTTCTCTGCCCCCACCAAAGTCCCATCCCATCCTCATTTCCATCCCCATTCCCATTCCCAAAACAAATCCCCCTATTCCCAGGCCAAGAAGCATGGCAAACATTTTTGGTTACCAAACAAGAGCTTCAGCCGAATCGAAGTAGGCCTTAATGGGCTGTGTCGCTATGATAAAAGCCGTCACACCTGGCGGGAAAACAATTTTCATATTTGGACTCACAATGAGTAAGTCTTTTCTCCACTAATAAATTTGAAATTATCATAAATGTGACACAAGTTTGAGCACCAAAATTATGCTATTTAATTTTCCATTTAATCTAAATTTTAAACATCACTGAAAGTTACCCAATATTTACTGTTATAAAGTAATCATATTAATTAAAATGATACAACTTGGTTATACCTTAATTTACTCTTTTTTATGATCATTTGGTGTATGATTTTTTGAAGCCATTTCCAAATGATTTATTTTAAAAATGTAACTAGAAGTCATTCTCCTTGGGTAATACCAATCTGTTCAGGTTAAACTTTATAACTGTAGTTATATTATAAATTAATGAGTTTACAGTGCATCGCTTGCATGCTTCATATCTTTAAAATAAAATAATTAAGCAATAAAGTAAGCTAACATGATACGGTCTTAAAATAAAAGCCTTCAGAGATAACTCTTTATGACGACAGCTTTATTACCTTATTTGAGTCAATCACATTTGCCGTTTATTTATTTGTGTGACATCTAATAATTTAAAAAGTATATATTCAATTAAGCCAATTGCCAATGAATGGCACCATTGTCGGCCGATTAGATCTTCGCTCGGATCGTAAATCATGTGGCGGCGGGACGAGCCCTTGAAGTACCGCTGCTACCGGAGTTGCCCACCTTGGTGGACAGGTGCGGAAAATTACTTTTTATATGCTCGTTTTAGTGGTTTATTATGACAAAACAAACTCTAACCCAAATTTCAGCGCACAAAGGTTAAGGGAACGGCACAGACCATGCGGATCGGAGATCGAGGTACCCACTCCATATCCAAGATCCCAAAGACCCCAGACCAAAGAGCCAAGACCCAAGATCCAAGACCTCTGAGCTCGGCACGTCATCGTCGCAACACTAACTAGCGTTTGAGGAAACAGAGTGTGGGTTTCGGCGATAAAGACACAGACAAAAACGCTATTAACATCATAAAACTACTATAAAGAAGCAAAACGAAAACAGCAACCGCTATGTGCACAACATAAATCATCGAATTGTTAGGAAGATCCATTATGGGCCATTACGAACACCAACACCGACACCACCTGAGTTATTTTGGGGAAAGAAAGGCAGCAGCAGCAGCAGCGGCAGCAGCAGTCGAGCAGCATTATTAAAATGCCGTTTTGCTTAATTTTATTTTATTGTTTTTGAAGAATTTCAGCCACGAATAGCAGTCAAATGAGCGCGCGAACTGCCGTTTGCCGTCGAATCGGGTGGTCCCGTCCACAATTTGAAAAAGTGCCGGGCTGCAAAGAAATGTTTAAGAAATGTATAAAGAAAAATAACAAAAATAAAAAAGAAGGAGCCCTGACCAACGGCAAATGCCCGGTAGCTTAGCTAACGAACACACTCCGAGGTGAGCAAACTAAAATTTATTAATGTGCCTGAGATACGCAGCAGATATGCGTTGCGAGTTGTCCAGCGGCTTGTCGATCGTTTCCTTGGAAGTGGAAATGAGTAATTTTTTCAATTTTGCTTTTCACTTAGATTGGAGGCGTTGATAATGGGCGTAGGAGTCGGGGGATCGCTGCCCAGTGTGCCCAATGTGCCCAAGGAGCATGCTTAATATTAATAAACAGGAAGGATCTGGTAGATACGCATAATGAGCCGCAGATGACAGGGCATATCATCGCTGACATCAGCACCGCACACTTCCGAAAGTGCGTATCTTCATCTAGAATTTGTTAAGTGAAAGTTTAACGGAAGTCGTGGGGGATCCTACTGGCATGATAGGCAGAAGATCGTCCTGAATATTGAAAACAATTCAATGGGGTTCTTACAAATAACAGATCATAATATTTATTATAAGGTAAAATGTTTTTTCATTATGAAAGATTGTTGAAATCTAAAATTTTCCATTTGGATAAACCATTTAAATATGTTTACAGTTACATTACCATGTTTAAGTTTTTTTTTAAGTTCGATTATGTTTTAAAAAACAATGTCATATTCAAATACTATGCCGTTTTTGTCTGGGTATATGCATTATTCTTGTTCTTAAAATATTTTGCTAAATACATAAAAGTTTAAAAATAAACCCATTTCTTCTCACAGAAGGGAATAGGGCTTATTATTGACTTTTATTCCATCAAATCCGGTGGTTTAAGAGGTCGTAGACCTGTGATATTAATCAAACTACTGCCCATGACGACCGGTTGATAGAGTCCATCCGATGCCATTTCCAAAATAGGGCTTGTCGCGGCGTTTCTTTGAAAACAAATTAGGCAACGTCGGTAGCCCCAAACGCACTTATCGGATGCCCATCTATGTCGAGAATCCCATCCCCATCCACATCCCTCCGCCCGATCCGACGACACAATGTCTGACGAGATCGAAATGGTCTCCTCATCGCATCGGCTTCTTGGGAGAATTATAGATAAATGATCAAAAGATTGTTAAATGCTGTTCAAGCAGCTTAGGAATTTGTTTGATGAGAGATTGATATCGCAGTGCAAGAGTTACGCATTCAGATCGGGCGAAAGGTAGCCTGGACTTCTATGTTTGTGTTTTGTTTCATTCGCCAACGAAATCCCCATATTCGTGGATCTTTGTATACAAGATGGCTTAGCACTAATGAACAATGTCTGTATCTGCATACCTGAGAGCTCAAGGAGAAAAAAGGGTGCCAACAAAAACTTGACTTCGTACAGGTGGTCTTTGTTTTGATACCTTTTAGAAAAATGTGGAAATAATTGTCTGGATGACTCACATTCTCTGAATAGTTCTTGGGAAGCCTTGTGTATTTTATTGATATTTTTATGGCAAAGATACATGGTAAGCAAGTCTGGAATTTGTTTTCAAAGATAAGAGTTCGCTACTTTGTGAATCAACAATTTTTAAATGGGGTTGCTATTGTATGCCTAATTTAATTTTGGCTCAAATAAGAAAAATTAAAAAAGTTTAAAAAATTAATGACTTATCATCTGTTTCATTTTTTTTTTATTTTCTCATCAAGGGAAAAAATGCGATTTTCGTTTCACTCTTTTGGGACAAGTAGACCAGTTGTTTATTTTGTCTATGAACTTTAATATTATGTTAAAGGATTCATTTTTATATAAATAAAATTCTTGATAGCATTTTTTCGCAATTGTTTCAAATTTTGTATTAAAATATGCAACTCCCTTCAATATTAGATATGCCTCCTACAGCTGACTAAGGTCTGTGCATTTACTTAAAATATAATTACAATTCGAATGTTTTCGAGTCCGTCCATTACATGCAGATGTGCAAATGGGTGTGTAAATTCAAATGGCAAACAAATTGAAAATGGAAAACGAAAATATGGACGTTGTTGCACAACAATCGACGTGCCCGTGTATTAAGTTACCCGTGTGTAGTGCAGTTTACACCCGTATGCAAATGTGGGTTTGATTTGATTAAGTAACGCGTAGTGTCGAAGCACCGATCGTCGGTCGCATTAATATTCTTACTTGGGTATTTAAATGGGCGCCGGATGGAGTGGAGTGGAAAAGGCTGTTGGGGTGTTGGAGGATTGTATATCTGTATGTTCTGTATTTTGCATAGTTTTGCTCCCCATTGGCAATTCATGAACATGACAACTGCAACTGTCCACGGCAGCGGGTAAATGTCGTAGTGTTCGTTGTTCGGTGTTCGTTGTTCAGTGTTCGGTGTTCAGTGTTCTGTGTTCTGTGTTTTGTGAGTGTGTGCGGGCGTGCTTGTACATACATCTATGGGAACACATGTCAACATTCCAGGAACACATGTACTATGTACGTACGCATACCAACACTCACTCATGCAACTAGCCCACATAGACACATAGTCATCGTCATCCCAGTTTGTGTGTGTGTTGGTGGGTGGGTGTGATGTGGGCGGGACTGATGGGCTGTGGGTGGGCGCAATTAATTAATTGCCTTTGTGCCATTTGCGCAACTGCAATTAAAACACTTACTTGAAAATACACTCCGTATCTGTATCTTTATCACCATAATTACTTGTGTAGCTTTACACAGCGAAAAGAAAATAATTCTGTTAATTTTGAGCTACAAACAATTTAGTTGTTGTATTACATTGAGAAAAAAAACAAGTTTCTGAATTGAGCGATTAGCTCAATTACATTAAACCGTGGAAAAATTTTTGAAAAACCTACCATTTTTATTTTAACATGACGTTAAATAGTTTAATTTAATATAACTTAATTTAATAATGCATAAAGAAACAATATTTTGAAAGGTCAAAACTACAATCTAATGTATAACCATCACTTTAAAAAATAATTTATAAACATTTAGCTTACATTGATAAAAAAATACTAATTGTAGAATAAGTTTAATTATTTCTTCCTGTGCATGTGCGTGTGTGTTGGTGGGGGAAACGGAACTGCGTGGAAGCCGCAAACTGAGCGCCAGAGGTCGCCACTCTACATAAATAGTTTGTGACCTTTCGCTTGTTTTACAAACAAGCTCCGAACAGTTGGCGTCGCCGCTCGCCGATTCGCGCCTCAATGTCACACGTAAGTGGGGGTGAAAAGGGGGCTTAAGTGAGGGGCGGTGGGCGATTCCCACCCCCTTAAAACAGCTGCAACTACAACTCCGCCTCTGATCCGATGGCTCTGCGGTGCTTGGAATTGCAAATTGGCAACTGCGCGCCGCTTCGCCAAGCCCGAGCCCATTTTAATTGTTTACATTTTGTTTTGTTTCAGCACTTATTATTATTAATTTCACTGGCACTCGCCACTAACTTCCTCCACCTCCACCCCCTGCCCCACCCCATTCCCCTTGCCATTTCCGCCCGTTTTTGCTTTTTTTGTGGGCGGCAGTGTTATTGACTTTTGCAAATGCTGCAGAAATGAATGCAGAGCCAAGCAACTCACACTCGCAGTCACATTCGCACTCACAGTGGGAGATGCCAGCACAGCCCTTCTTCGCATCTCCGGGGCCGGGCAATAAACAAGTTTGTTTATGGAAGCATGTTATTAAACGTCGGCCAATAATGCCCTATCCGATGGGGTATGATCAATTTACAAAACTATTGTATTCCTCTTTCGGGAAATATCGTATTCACTCAGAAATTTCTAATTTAAGGAATAATGCTAATAGTATTAGTATTAGTAGTAATAATAGTAATACCGTATATACTTGGAAAAAATATACCCAAGGCTAAATTTATATGGAAGGCTCATCTTTAGTTCATTATTCTTTAAATTAAGGAATTTATTACTAAAATCAAGAATTTATTTTCTGGGCGTAGCTTATACAGAAAAATTATTATAAGTTAAAAAAAATGGTTGTATTTAAGTAATTCATAAACTTTTCATTCAAATTTCGGTCACACAACTTTTTTTGAAAACATCAAACATATGCTTAAAAAAATTTGGCTTAATATTTTCTATTACAGCTTTCGACCAGATATCAATTTGTAATTTTTAAGCCTTTAAAAACAGTCCATTGTAATCTAATATATATTGGCAGTCATTAAATATAATTTAATCTAAGGTTGTTGCTCGGAATAATATTTGCATAACGTACTTTTTTCATATTGTAGACTTCATCCTTTAATTACATTTTTGGTTACCTTTATTTTAGTATTTGACACCAAAGCTTATTCTTAATGCCTTTATTCCTGTCAGTGTATAATAGTTTCACCTTCACAGCCGGATTTCCCTTTTTTCGGACGGTCTGAGTGGGTCTGTTCCGCTGGGAGACGACACTGCTGGAGGCGATGTCACTGATTCCATCTCCGCTCAATTTAGCGCCAGTGCACGCGATTGGAGCTTGGGTTCTCCGGAGCTGATGAGTCTGCAGTTTCCACTCTTCACTGTTCACTGTTCGCTATCCACATCCACATCCACTATCCCAGATCCGTGATCCGTGAGTCAAGGCAAGTCGGTCTTCAGATTGGCGGCACGAAACTAGTCGGCTTGGCTGTGTTCCATGGCCTGGCTTGGAAGTCTACCGTTACTAATAGTGCATATAGTGTTTTATTTGTATGCATTTCTCGCCATTCGTGTATCACATAATTCCGTGTGAATCCGCTCTGCAGTGATAACTGTGCTTTCGCCGTGTTCGAGTCGCAGCTAAAGTGATAATTGCCAGCTCATTATCAGCGTTTTGCGTGAGCAATTCGAGCCCCAGTCCAGAGATGCAGTGCATCCAGCAATCTGCAGACACGTCTCTGCGGCTGCACTTATGCATTAAGCATTCTCGCAGTGCATATTTTAGTATTTCAGTTGCCTGCTCAAGCATTTGCACAAAAACATGCTCTAAACACTTGTTCTCCAGCCCCCTAATTAAGTGGCTGGCTCATTGGGATACGCTCTGAAAAGATAACCTTTAAAAATAAATAAATATGAAATTTTATAACTTGATTAATGTCAAACTTTAACATATTTGAGGTATGCATATTTGCAAATTGTTTATTCAATAAAACATAGTTAAAACATTTATAAATTTCGAAGTTGTTGCTTAAGAAATACCACAGTAGCAAAAAACAAGACTAATATATTCTTTTAAGGTTTTTAGCGCCAATTTGATGTGTTAGCTGATATATGAAGTCCCATGAAAATAAATGTATGTCTATTGATTACCCGAATGCCCCCTCCGCAAAACGGATAAAACCTTTTGGTGTCGAGGATCACTTCCCTAAACAATTAGGTTACAATGCTGATCGAGGCATGTGGGCGAGACCCTTCTGTGGGGCTAACTGGGATCATTATTTCCGCACTAATGCCGCACCCGATCGACTGCCCATGCGCAGCGGCAACGGACGGAGGTGCTATACGTGCCGACAGGCCGACAGCTCGGATTTGGAGGAAAAACATGTGTAGGTTACTGCT